AAAAAATAGTAATACAAAACGCTGAGAACTTTCCGGACAACCTAATACTCTCTCGGATAATCATTACTGGGGTTCAGCCCGCTCAGGCCTTGAAGAGGGCACATTTGGAGAACTATTAGTCAATAAAAGCATTTAATAACCTCCTTAACAGTTGTAAGAAGAACCCCCTAACCAACATTGGTCATCGCAACACTGATTTATGAGGGCGAGGCTTGTTTCCACTCAGGACACAGGACTCACTGAGCGAGAGTACGGAAGCCGGCTCTGGAGGTGTAATAGTTAGCACACTGGCCCGATGAGCGTGAGGTTCAGCTTGGAGTCTGAGCTAAGGTGGAGCCCTTCGCTCATGACTCCATGTGCAAGAACTACAGCGATGTGCTGCAGTCATCGTAATGAAATAAGTTTAAAACTGACATAGCACCGAGTAATCCCTCAAATAATCGCGTATGCCTGGTACTCATCTAAATGCTTCCGCCTTGTAATAGAAGGCGATGCAAGTGTCACTTCCCACATAGGGACTAAACAGCGTTGAAAACATTTTCTCTTCTCCTGTTCTAGCCCCTTCATGATATATGAAGTGGCTAGGAATTTAAGAGACAGCCGTGTGTCTCAAAGCAAGGTTCACCAACGCGTTATGCAAATTTTGCTATACCACCCCTTTACCAGGAGCGCCTTACTTGACACACTCATCCTCTCCTGAAAAGCGTCTTATTTTGACATGACTGTTAATTTCTCGTAGCCACCAGAAGTTTCGAGTGTGAGATGTTCACTTTCACAAATGTTATGATGACAGAAACCTGTACTTCTCTCAGTTTCTCACACGCATCGTAAGCGGATTCCAGTTTCGCTGTAATCTGACCACTTTTCAGTGTTGTTGAAGGAGCTTTGATGTTCAGACTTCGGCAACGCATAAATGGGTGGATCAATGGCACATCCGAACCGTCATTCCCAGTGATGGCTTCGAAAGGATTTAAACTGGCGTTGGAAAAAGCCGTCGATCGATTAAATGCAGCTATAAAACCATGTGAAACGGTCGAAGGTGATCACAGCGAACCTATGGAGTTTAGTACAGAAGGCGAAAGCACTCCAAAGGTGACTTTTCAAAACTTTTACTAACACTTCGTGTACTCCATAACACCTTTTGGGATAGCGTAAATCATGATTTTTTTTCTTAAGACAGCGAATGAAGAGCACAGTGAACGTGTATACGAATGGACAATCACACCTGAAAAGAAGACATCACAATAAGGATCTTTAGTCCCATTTGTTTCCGCCGCAGTAACGCCATCTACATTCGCTATGTGTACTACTAACGCATTAGAGTGGTATAATGGTAGCTGTTTTAACTTGACAGTTGTGCATCTTCTTTTGCTTTCCGCACGTCATTGTTTAAAGGGTGGATTGGAAGTCCGGTGAAAACGGGTTCGTAGACTTAGATAAATACTTTATATTTGTATCAGTTGGACATACAACATTTGTAAACACCCTATATACAATATTTTTTCACAATACTATATTAATATACTCAATACTTCTCGATGGTTGTACAACAATGTTTCTTGTCAAGCGAGCAAGCAAACCTGATTAGTGAAGTGCTGCTTGGACCAGAGGTTCCAATTCTCCGCTATGCAATAGACGAACTATATCGTCACCACCGCCTATGAACTGACCGCCAATAAATACCTATAAAACAATATATTGAAAAAGAAAAAAAAACAGTACACCAAGTAAGCAACACTGTACCTTAGGAACTGATCTGCTGCCAAATCTCTTCAGAAATTCGTCCTGAATGCCATCAACGGGCAGATCTGAACGTTCATCTAACTCGATGTACTCGAATTGCTCGTGTTGTAATCGGAATGTTGCTAGTGCTGCCTTCGCTTTCCTAGGAAATACTGTTTTTGTGAGAAATCGACAATTCCATTCCAAAAAACTTGGCTGCGTTCACACCTCACGACGTTGACGCAATTGAAGTAACCGACGTGATCGGTCACAGAAGATTGGATATGTATCGATTAGATACGTCGGAAATGTCAGCTACGTCTGGTACGGCGACTGCCTTGGATCGATATCTATTTAAACTTCTGTCGCCGATTACGTCACGTGCATGTCGTGGACCACGTCGTAAGGTATGAACACTATCCTATCAATTCTCACGGTGGGCAAAACACGTAATGAGGTTATACAAGACAGTAATTAAACTGGCTTAGAAAACGGGCCACATCTCGTCAACTGCAAGGGAATTTGTGCTCGACAGTAATCGAGTCGTACAACTGCTTGCTTCGACACCATGTCACACAAGTCCGACGGTACTGTGGTTAGGAAGAGGGGTATTCGGCAAGGCACTGATCCATGCCCCCTTTACTATCGAGAGTACATGAAGGCTGATGAGTTAGGGTGCGAGAGGTGTCCTTGGCTGGTGGGGACATGCTCAAAGCGGAGCGTGAATCGGTCTCTGCAAGCCCCGCCCTAACTTTTTTTTGGGGGGGAGGAGGGATAAGGAGGGCGCAAGGCCATGGGGGTACCCCACCCCTATGCGGCCACCAACGCTAGAGATTTAGAGAGTAAATTAAGCACATGGGGGGGAAAGTTCAAAGGGGATCTTTTTTTTTTTCCCACAAAATGAAATAAACTTTGGGCTTGAAAATCCCAGTGCCATTCAAACCCAGTCTGACAAATCCTGGGACATAAAAAAAAAGCGGAAAAAAACGCTAATGCTAAGGGTGCCAGCTTGGCACAGCTACTATGCCACTGTCACTTGGCACAGCCAGCCAGTCCTGCCCTGTTGGCCCCATAACGTCTTTTTAGAGCCTGGGTAGTGACGGCAGTGGAGCGTCACTTCCGAGTCGTAGCATCGTGTGCACTAGCAGAGAATTACCTAACTAGTCGACGAGACAGGCACAGGGATAGGCAGCGACTTGAGAAAAGCGGGCGATGGGAGACTGGATGCGCCGCAGCACTGACGCGTTTGCGTTGGGTAGATTGGTTTCTAGTGCGAATGTTCAACCCGCTTGCAACGTCGCTTTCGTCAAGCTCGTCGCAAGCCGAAATTAAAGCTCCACATGCGTATCGACTTCGGTGAAGGGACGCAGACAAGCAGCGGGAAATAAAGCTGCTGTGGCAAAAATTGCGGAAGCTGCTCAGTACCGTTTTGGCACGAAACTGCAACGTATGTTTGCGACTAGGTTCTAACTGTTACGTGACATCTTGAACTCGTGTGCATGGTCCTGACCAAGAAACGCGGATAGATAGAAGACAACGCCTGCTAAAGTATCGAGACGTGCAAGAAACTATGGCGAGCCAGGAAACGAGCTTTTCAAGGGGAGGGACTCCGGAAGGGTGAGCCACTTATCATACGTGAAAAGCTGGAATGTGCGAAGTCACAATGACCATAGAGTGCCACGCGGACGAGAGAGAGCAGAGAAAAACACAAATTCGACGCGTTCAAAGGAATTGAGTTCAGTTGGGTCATTCGTACCAGGACCACCCACTTATGTGGCAATGAACAGCGTGTCACCTAGTCTGTGCTACGCGCACGATTTTTGTCATGTAGAACACCTAGATTCTTGGGTAAGACTTGACTCACAAACACCAAATCTGGTAGTAGGTGAATGCTTGCTTCCGGACTACCGTCTCAGTAGGTGCAAAAAGGGCTGAAACAATTCCTTTTTGGTTACAAAGCGAAAGCATACCTACAAAATGGGCACCATGTTTTACTGAAGACGACTATGGGCTTGGAGGAAATGTAGGCATCGATGATTTCATCTGGACGCTGTGGTTTGTCGCTTTTGGTCACTTTCTTCTTCAATTTCAGATCACGCGATATGAGTGTGGTTTCCAACACATTTCTGCTCCGAAGCTCCTGTTGAGAAATAGTGGTAAAAAATGATATAGACGTTCGAAAAAAACATTAGTATTTGATTTTGCTCAGATTTTGTGATCAGTCCACAAACTGCCCGCGCGGCTCTGCTATGCACAGGGATCGAGGTCATAGTGATTGAAAGTGAGAAAAATGAGTAAGAACCACTAATTGCCAGAGCTATCAATACGCACTCTTTTTGATTCAGTATGAGCCCATGTTCATACTTTGCGAACATGAAGAATCCGCAGTTGCAATGGTTCAGCGAAAAAGGACCAGATGGGGCATATGGACTCGATGCACCAGTGAACTGCACGTTCTCTAGAGAAGAACGTTAGGGGGGGGGGGGTATTAAATAACTACCATTAAGTACTTTGCCGCGAATCTCACAAATGGTCCACGGATTACGTCAACCGATCCCATTCGTGTCAGTTTTGAGTTTTTCCTGCAACCTTACTAGTTTTCTGTGGCCACCATCGTTTTACATAGTACAGTTTTTCACGCATGATAAGAATCAGACACAGGTCCGTTCTTGACAGCGAGTCTCCATTCCCTTCATACATTCCCTCTACACTAAGCCTGTGTTACAGGACTTCGCCACAGGACTGCAAGTTAAAGTACTCTTAGCCCTGTCAAATAGCGAAAGTCGCAAAGTATGAACGAGGCCTAAACAATTCAGTCAATTCGCGGTCTGAAATTTCACCGCAACTGGAGCCAAGCAGACGAGTTTCAGAATTGAAACAACCCAGGTGGGACTTGCGCTCACGTCTTTCACCATCCCCTAACCACCATCCACCACCCATTCAATCAACACGCTGTCCATCCTGCTTTACAGCCTAATCTGTTCCTATTCCAATCCCTCTTCAACTTCAACAACAGATCAGTTTCACAAATAATCCATCACATTTACTCTAGACTCTTTCCCGCACTTTCTGTAGGCAGTCTCGGCGTCCTTACAACTGTCAAGTGTCGTATCGCGAAAATATAAGTGTTCACAAATATGCAAATGAACAAGCTAATTCTGAAACACAGCGGAAGCTTCTGGAAGACTGCATTCACTGATTCCTCCCCACTTTCGGGTATCGAAACTGTTCTGGTTTATTTGAAAACAAACGTACCTCTTCAATGTGCTCGAGTTTCTTACGAGCAGCCTCTTCAGCTGCTCGCTTTGCTTCCTCTGCCACAGCATCATGATGTCGTTGCTGCGCCAGCCGAGCCGCCTCCAACCTTGCGGCGACACGAGTGTGGACATCTTCGTCTGGAGAAATACTCTTCCTGTTTGAGAAAAATGCAAGCAATTGATCAACTTACCAAACTTTTTCTTCTCCATCAATTCCTTCGACTCCCATATACTTTTTAATTTCGGTCTAACCAAGTTGTTATAGATAAAGTAGGCCAGAACACAAGTGAACGTTAGCAGCCATCCATAAGGCGCCAAGTACTCCCATAGCACTGGAACAGTTCAGAGTTAGATTTAGATTAAAAACATTCCTTTCTCGAGAGATCATGCTAATGAGTTTTTACCATTTTTTTCGAGGCTTCAAGAAGTTATGCAACAGCTCTAGGTGCAAAAGTAGTAGAGGAGTGCAACGCGGGGAAGAGGAGGGCCTCGCGGTTGACAGATATCCTGAGACCGACGGCATGGCAGAGCATAGATGACCAGAGAATTCGCGCTCTGTCACGAAGCATTCCTCAGCTACTTTCTTGCGAGTTTTCGGATGAATTCTCGCTTGTTGATTTCGTATCAAACCCAATATTCTTGCCTATTCCTTGTTGGACCGCGATCATTTAGGAAGAGACATGAATTTTGAACCCACTGGGAGAACACGCGAGGATTTCAAGCATGCTTCGCGAAAATGATAATCAGTGGGCTCGCAAATGACCTTTTTCGGAAATTCTTCGATTCTAAAGCAAGGAGAACAAACCACTGGACGAACTATTCCTTTGGGAGGATTTTCCTGGACGGTGGGGATCCAGCCACTCTCGTGGATTTTGAAACCCTTCACTGCGGCGATGTTTGTAAAAGTGACCTATTGCTGCTGTAAACGGCAAACTTCCATGGCGACATGAAAGCTATCCTTCACGTGCGACACAAGTTTAAACCGGCGAATGCGAATTTGCTAATGCCAATCTGGAATGAGTCATGCGGTGAAGTAATTGATTACGGGGCACAGTGCGATTTGGCTCACGCGGCGGACGTCGCGCGCCGATATAAAAAATACCGGTATGGTTTTGCGACGGCGCTCGCTCGCGATGCGTTCTTCCTCGTACCAGTGACATTCGCTGTACAGTCAATCGTACATGAAGCAATGACGAACAACAAACGTCACTGAGAATGAGGGTGGCAAGAAAGCAATTGTGACATTACAAAAGATTAGGAATCAGCAGGATCGTAGTTAAACTTACAAGTCCAATGGACGGAGCAGAATTTGTGCAGGTTTTCTCTGCCAAATTGGTTCAATGTTAATCACTTGGTTATTATATGAGACGAAAAATGGGTTCTGACGGTCATGGCCATCAGTCTTAGCAAAATTGATGTGTGGCTGAAACTGAAAGCGGAATACATCGATTCCGCAACGCAATGAGTTTATCGCGATGCCGCGCGCTCACTGCAGCCCGCGGATGTTTGGCATATTGCCAGCGCCATGAGACTGTCGCAGTCCGGTTCCTAAAGACGCTTTCTGCAGTTATGGTTTCTTGGTGCATCAATGGGCCAAAAACACAGAGCATTCTCTTTCCTGATTTCATCGGTGCTCTCTAGCATTCTAGACGGAATTCGCTGTGAAGTTCAGTATGTCAATGTCACCATATTGCACCAGTATCTCTCTAAAATGCCATTTCCTTTAGATTTGCATAGGTGGGTAGATTGACAAATATTATTTGCGTGGTCACGACAACACGCGCATTGTTTCTAAACACAGCAACAGTATTTTTAGCTCTTTTTTGCATATTCTAATCTTCGGGTTATCTCTAAAACACTCATTGTTCGAAATAAACTACTTACATGAAGAAAAACAAAAACACGCAAAAAGAAATCAGAAAAATCGGTGAAGTTCGCATAATTACAGTGCACGTTCGGCCAGCGGCTGCACCCGTATTTTACAATGAAAGCAGGGTAATATCAGATATTAGACTATTTAGCATAAAAGATGAACAGTACTGAACCGCGACATACCAAGAATTCATTATGCCAACGGGGCAGACGGACTGACGCTGAATTTGCCGCAGTGGTTCGGGTTTGTGGGGATTGATACACACCTTCCTGTCCGCTAGTTGTGTATATTTCTCTGGAAGACCACACGCACAAAAGCCCCCATGTGCGGACGTCGTTTGCAGGCGTCGTTTGGTTTGCGCGCATTTTGAGCGCCGCATCAATGACAACGTGTTTTGCGGGATGTTGATTGTGTATCCTTGTTTTGGTATATATATATATATAAGAGATTAGCATTTACCAATATCTCTTCAGCGAGCTATGCAGGCCCCGAGGTCGACTAACGTTATTTGGGGGGGGGACCATGGCGCGCGGTGACGTACTCATCTGCTCTTCTGCCTCCTACTCGGCACAATAGAGTATTCATGTTTCAGAACATGAATATGACAGGTCCAGAGGTGCTGGATTTCAAGGTAAACGCTTATGCTCCTGAAAGTCATGAAAACAATTGTAGTGTTTTGATTCTTGCCTATACAGGCGAATGATTCCGGCCAGTGAAACATTCGTTGACGTAAACAAGTGACCCTTCTAAATAAATTGAAGCTCTGCAGAATCTAGAGAGAAATCTACTCCAGTAGTTCACCATCAAATCGCAGAAATTGAATCTTGAGCCACAATTTCACCTCACCAATTCACTTCAGCTTGCTACACGAAGTCCATGTGTTTTTCGCTTCTGTATGATTTCTCAGCAAGTTCCTGGTTCTGTGATCGCTGTTTGTTTTATTTCTGCTAGATTAGCGCTTCGTAGGGAACTCTGGTGGGTTGGTTTACCTTGAACATTTCTCGCCGGCAAGAGCGGCAGAGGAGATGGTACATACCGCCGCGCATTCGCGTACGGTTCCCCACAACCACCCTCAGATACGTTAGCACCAAGCCCTAGCCAGGCACATCATCGCTGGAGATTCTCCAGCAAGGGGGGGGGCGTATTTGGTCTGAGGAAGAATTTCTCACGATACTTCTTTTTTTCTTGATTCAGGGGCGCTAAGAAAGGTGGAAGTCGCGATTTGCTCGTTCTTGGAGGAAGGGAAGGGTGAGGGCGGTGTTGTTTGCCTTTATGCTGGCGTATAAGTAATGACGATGTTCGGGGCGTAATAGACGTAAGCGCGTAACCGCGAATAACCACGTTTTCGGCTACTACTTCCTGAATTGAGGATAATATTGATCGGACCTCAGCGATCGTTGCGTCGTCGAGTGACCGAGTTTTGACTGTCGTTCGGTTAGTGCGTACCGTGCGCGCGCGTCAACGTCGACATAACCTGCGTTTTCTGCGACTAGTTCGTGAAGATTATATACGTATCGATCCGACGAAAGCTGCGCAAGTTGCGTAACTGGCGAATACCGACGACTACTTCGCGAAGACTTGAGCTCAATCCCTTTAAACACGTCGATCTTCTGTTTCTGCGCTCTCTCGTCCACATGGCATTCAATGGTTGTTGCGACTTCGCACTTTGCAGGTTTTCACAGATTATAAGCGGTCCCCCACCCCGGAGTCCTCCCCCCTGAAAAAAGTCCATTTCCAGGCTCGTACTGGTTTCTTACACGTTTCGATGCTTTGGCAGCCGCTGTCCTCTATCCGTCTGCGTTACAGGGTTTCGTAACAGGACAATGCACCCAAATGATGAGGGTGATGTTATCAGGGAAAAGAGCTGGTATCAACAAGTGAGAATTTCTCCTAGCGTGCCTTCTCGTATAAGTATGCTCTTACAAACTCGGATACATAAAAAGTGCTATGTGGGCCTTCGCTAGCTTTTTTCCCATTTGATATTTCCCTTCGTTGTCACAAGTATTTTATTCCCATCACTCATCTCCTCTGATCACGAGACCGTGCCCCTGAGAGTAGATACTGTTGGTCCGGTTACTAGCTGAACCGCTTATAACCAGCGATAGAATGGTTTTTCTCGCGAACCAAGTCACCTAAGCGAAAGAGCATTCGGAAGACTCATGGTGCAAAACTGGGATTACTGTATCGCGAACCCCACGAAAGAGTTGGTCGATTCATCCCGAAAACCCGTCTATCTTAAATTTAAGCAGAAACCTCGAGGTTGATCACAGTTTGCTAAGGAGTCATTCGAACATCACATACCTAGCTGGCTTTTTTCATAATTTTTTTTCTAATGGAATTCATCGCTTTCAATGTTCTCCCTCCCTTACTGATGAGCACACAGTGGTACTATGCTTTTATTGGGTTTCCATTCGAAAAAGCGTGCGAAGCGGAAGCTACCTGTTTGCTTTCAATCCTCTCAATGTTTCTCCAGTGTTCGCTTTTCGAACCAATTGAGTGAATTTCAATTTCGGTAATTTTTCTTTGCGCCTTATGACAGCACTGTGCCTTACCAGTGGGGTTCTGATTATATCATGTACAGAGGCTATCCTCTACTCCACCTTACGATAGATAGCCATCGCCTGTTGTACATCATTCGCACAAACGGCGCCCCAACGCTAGACCGCGTCGCCGCTACGGCTTCGCTTTCATCGATTCCTTTGCACTCCGTCATGGGTGGGATTGTATCTTTACTACTCATTTCTTAGGTTTTATAAGACCAAACCATCCATTTTGTGCCCCTAGCTTTACGCATTTCTGTACTTCTCATGTTCGCCATGGTAATTCCAGATGTCTTCGAGTTGTTCTCGTTTTAAAACAAAATCTATTCTATTATTGTAAATCTAGCCCATGATATATGTGTACCATGAATTTAGGTCTTGCGTCCTCTTACGGAGACGAGTGATTCTTTTTTTATTTTTTTTGCTTCTTTCTTTTGTTTCTGTTTCCCGCACACTTATGCAGCTAAATATGCTGATTGCACTGTTTTGAAGAGATGGCGTAATCTTTTTGTTCCCTTGCAATCTTGTTCCCATGAATTGCTACATTAGCGATCATTCGAGGATCATTTGCATGCGTAACACCACAATTCCATTTTTATACTAGAAAAATGACAAAGGATTTTCATATGAATGCTACCTGGTACCCTTATCTAGAATATGAAGTTTAGTTTTGAGAACGCCTATTCACGCTAATCTGGCTCTGAAGTAAAGTACCATATTCGTGATCATGATCCTAGCTCCCCCCACCCCTCATTTCCCAGCTGTAAGTTTATAAGATTGGACGGGAAGTAGCACGTCGTAAATGAATGACATGTTCGTGGTGAGGCACCGAATAACCTCTATATGTGCAGTTTGAGCTGGGACTTTTTGACTTTAGGGTTATAATAACGTAGTTTTGTCAACCAGTGTACATAATTGTTGTGCGAAACTCATTGAGGGTTGTACTTCA